TATAACATACCTTTCCTATTGAATCAGAAACACAGGAATTCCTATATTATATCAAAACAGAAGAAGCAATAAAAAAATGTTGTGTTCATCTCTAATATATTCGTCTTTACATTATATACTGATTATAGCATACGAAGAGAAGTGACAAATTCATAGGTATATTATTTCTTTCCTTTTGCACTGAAATAATGTTTTTCATAATTTTCTTCATATTTAAAATCGATTGGAAGAAAATATTACGTGAAAATAATTATTTATGTCTTCGAATATAAATCAATAATAATAGTAATAATACAATATTAATAATAGATTATAATAAAAGTAAACCACGAAAGAATATATTATAATTTCTGAACTATAATAATGTATTATATAAGACATGGAAAATAATAAATTCTGTGTTTTTATGATTACTGTTGTTATAGTAAATACAAGAGAAGGAAAATTTTAATCAAATTTTAGTGGCATTTCTCGTGACAACTCTGTGTTAATTCAATGTTAAGGAAAATAGTATTTTACAAATTTTGTTGCGTTTATATTCATTATTACTTTTATATTTCGATTCTCTCTCTCTCTCTCTCTCTTTCTCTCTCTCTCTCTCTTTGTGTTAATTCAATGTTAAGGAAAATAGTATTTTACAAATTTTGTTGCGTTTATATTCATTATTACTTTTATATTTCGATTCTCTCTCTCTCTCTCTCTCTCTCGTTTACTATGGGATACATTGACTTCAATTTTGCAAACAAAGGAATTTAAATAAATTTGTCACTGATTTTCAAGATATTTTTGCAACAAAACAAAAATAACTTTTTTCCATTTAATATAATTATTTTTAATTTATTGTATTTTGTTAAACAAATCATCAAGGTATGTGTGTTGTTTATTTTATAGATGAATATAATAATATACGAATTTAAATAAAGTCACCCTGAACAGTAATAACAATTATGTTTAACGCATATCGAAAGTAATTAAACTTAAATGTGTTTAAAGATAAACATTGTTAAACTTTTTTCTCACTAATACTTTACATCCGTTGACTGAAATGCGTTTTGTATTTATTATTATAATAAACATAATATTTGATGCATTTTGCGAGCGTTTGACGAGTTGTTTAACATTTTAAATGTTCAAAAATAGTGTATAATTAAAACAATTTCTCCGTTAAAACACATGTAAACAGTGAATGAAATGAGTGAATGTCTGCCGACAATACATAAGTTTACCGAAAGAGTAATACTCTGTTTATAGATATTTTGGTATTCAATAAGATTTATGTCTGAATTTATGTTCACTTTTAAGGCCAGTCCTCACGACTGGAAAAGAGAATGAGAGAAATGAAAGACTGTTTTTATCTGATTTTACGTTTAGCACTCGGAATACAGGCTCTCAAAAATCTCTCGACTGAGAGGTGCACTATATTATAGTATATTATTGTATATTATAGTATTGACAATCACTTTAAAATCGCCCCAAACAATGAATTCCTTATATTCTTTAACCGTATTTCTTGTTCTTTACGCCAGAATTTTTTTTAAACTTAACTTCTCGTTTGGATCACAGACTCTATTATTTAGAGAACTGTCTGACACTATAAGTGCTTTAAGGACTGAAAATAGTGTTTATATATTGGTAAAGAGGGAAAGTGAGAGAGAGAGAAAGAAAGAAAGAGAGAGAGAGAGAGAGAGAGATTGCAGTTATTTCAATGCAATAAAATATTAATGAATTTTTTTACGATTAAATTCTGTCACTTCATAACCATTTTTAGTAAGCGTTTTATTGGAAACTAACAAATATAGCAAAAAAGTCATTAAAACAAATCCGATACCAATCTGTGATAATTAATGCATTTTAATACCATTTGGAGAAATGGTACCGAAAAAACATCACAAAAATTTGGTTATCTATTGATTTAACGGAAGGAATTGCCAACAAAAATGAAATGAAAGAAAGTCTTTAAAAGTCAGTGATTGAGAGGCGAACGGATAGGAAGAAGAGATGATTATAATTAATGTCAAATGCAAACTAGGCTTACAAACCATATTGACTCTAAAGTAAAGCACAAACACCGATAGGACCGGTAGTGTTCGGGTGAACGCCAATTGGCGATCAGTAAATAGCGAGTGAGTGAGCGATGCAGGAGAGAGAGAGAGAGAGAGAGAGAGAGAGAGAGAGAGAGACTTCAAATCCAATAAATCCAAGGAATGGCTTCAGGTTTTCTTCAATGGTTTGCTCTTAAAATAGTTAAGAATTACAGAAAAAAAGAATTTTCTTAATTTGAAAAAGAGTTTTGCATTTTTGCTTACGATTCAAATACAAAGTCCTTTCATCTTATTTCCTGTGAATCGCTTTTCTAATGAAGAAAATTATTTGGTTTTTAAATTTCCAGCCATTCTTTTTGGGAAGAAATTTAACTAAATTATGTCTAATTAAGTGAAAATTTAATTAAATATAAACATGAAATGAGTCGATAAGACTGTATGGAAACTTTGTTAATTAATCCCTCTTTTGAAGCACAATATTTGTGATAAATGTAATTGAATTAAGTCTTGTATACAATTAAAAATCATTTTAATATATTTTAAGTGATAATTGGATATTAATTAGCCTATAATTCACTGCTTTATTGATATGATTGGATCGTAATATAAAATATAAAAGCAATTATAAGCTTATTTTTATACTAAAAGCATATTAAGTATAGAATTAGAAATAATCACATATTTATAGCTAATCTGAATATAATGTCTCTATTTTCTCCCTCTCTCTCTCTCTCTCTCTCTCTCTCTCTCTGTTGTTTTGATACATTATATGCCAATATATTAAGTCACTTATGAGATAATATTAATACTCGAAGTTATTTATATATCGTTTCTTACGATTATGTGTCCACACATTCATGTGTTATGACAATAGACTGAATATAAATGAAAAATTATTATCATTTCATTTATGTCTTCCACAACTCATTTATGATAGAAATTAATGTTTAGATGAGAGAGAAATGTATGCGAAAAGTATGGGAATCCAAAAATGTGAGCACTCTTTAGATCGGAGACACGAATTCATTTTCAAAATGAATTTACTGTTATTGCCATTAAATTATCCCTTGTTTTCATTTGATATAAAAATGTTTTATTTATATTTTGATGGCAATTGATTCAAGAATTAGAGCCTTTAGTTTTACGGCCCAAACACTACTTAAGACATTAATTTGAATGTCGGCTTAAATTTCAATTTATGAGACGCTTTTCCGACTCCAATCTCATTGGGATTACAACCGAGTGTTTTGGAGAGCTTTTTGGTGCCAATGAATACTGTGTTTTGATATATATTTATAAATTAGTCCATAAAACCTAATTAATGTCACACTTTTATACAAAAATGCAATTAAACTTCTGATTTTTACTATATTTTATAGTAGACTATAACTCGGTTTATGGTTTATACAGCACCTTAGTTAAAGGTGTGTTTTTCATCGGTGTTAAATACGTTATTGATATCATAATACTGTATTAAGCATTCATTAGTGTCACCTTAAGATTTGTTCAGTACTTACCAAATGATACAAATGTTGTTGTGATTAAAAACCTTAACATTTTATCGTGTTTTTTTATATAACTTTGTCAATTCATTATTTGTTAATAATTTAAAAGGTATTTAATATTAATATAGATATAATACGATTTGTTGGATCAATGAATTTGTGTCATTGTATGCGATCAACAATTACGCCAATAGTTACGAATTTAAGTCAATATTCTTGAAATGTATATTTCATTGAAAAGCGATCTCAAAGATATTCAATTCAACACTATATGTGATGAATGATTGCTATAATTATGGACACATTTATTCGTTCAATACTTCTTTCATGTTTACGAATAAATTGAATTTATTTACAAAAATATTCAATTTTAAAAATATTGAAATTTCGTGATTGAAATCCCAAAAGAGATTAAACGCCAATAAATCATTCAATTCAACTCAAAAGATACACTAAATTTTTAGTGATAAAACTTTTTGAATACGCGATGCGTTTATATTGTCATGTTTTCAATGCCTTTTTGTACTGTTATATAACATTTAATATTGTGTTTTATTCAACAGTGAGACCCCATTAATCAAATGCATATAAAATACACGTTTAGTTTGTGAGAAAAAATACTTATCTCTAAAAAATATCACTTTAAAACTTATGGTAAATCTAAATGATTACGTTTGAAACGCTTTGCCAAGGCTTGTGGTGAACTCCAGTGACGCTAATCTTCATTTAACTATAGATTTTTTGAATACAAATATGATTTCAATTCAAATCTCATACTTACGGCTCCTGTAGGACAAGACCAGTAGATTTCTCATTGTATTAACATTTAAATCGCTGTTTTAATGCATTTAAACACATTTTGTTTCTTTAATATAAGATCTATCAATATATTCAACAATAAATTTTGTTCAATAAATTATATCAATTTGAGAAATATTTCATTAAAATATATGTATATTTCGTTTCAAATATATTTAAAAATTATTTAAATCACAAACCATTAAAAAGATGTTTTTATATAATCAGTAAAAATGTCAACAAATTTCTTTTTGAGCCGCAAAACAGTGTTTGACAACTATTCAAAACTAAAACGCTATAAAAATCTCAACAAAATAATAAAATAAGACTAATTGAGAGCTCAAACACTGTGTTTTGGGACCCAAACCCATATTAAATCAATAATTATTAAAATCAATAATAATTATTTACAATTTAATTGCATTAAAAACATGAGTCTAATGGTGTGAATGACTTAGTCGTACAGCAATTTGCGGAACACTTCGTACGAGGCGTTGATGACACCCCACGAGAGGAACGCACGGCTGTAGTTGACGTGAACGCCGTAAAAGAGTTTACGCAGCGATCGGTCCCTTTCGACGTACACATTGCGAAAGGCCTGAGGTATGGACACGAATGGACTGCCGGGCGCTTTGGTCTGCATTTGAGTTCGGATCACATTAATCGGGTAAAAGACACTACTGATGAACGCGCCGACACACGCGCCCGACACGAAGTCTTTGGTGAGCGCACACCACCACCGGCTCTCATAGCCCTCAAACACCGGCAGATAGTTCTTGGCCTCACCCCTGAGCGAGAAGAACAGCGCGTTGGACGGCCCGTTGCGGCACAGGATGGCCGACAGTCCTCTGTAGTACTCGCGCACGCCGTACGCCCGGAGCTTCACAAACGCGTCGAACGTGTTGTTGTACTGACGGTGAAAGTGGTTGTCCTGCAGAAGCATTTGGATCCTCTCGAACGGCGTCAACACGGCTTCGGTAGAGCCGGCCATCACCGCAGCCGCGCACAGGCGAGCCGTGCCGTTGGGCACCAGTGACTGGCCGTACGCCGAGTCCAAGAGGCGCCGGTACTGGGCGTACGTCCCGAACATTATCGAAATGGTGACCGACCTCTGCATCAACGGCGGACCGATTCCGCGGTACAAATACCGCAATCCCTCGACTCGGAGCTGATTGATGGCGCTCTTGATGTGCACTCCGTATAGCATTTGCCTGAATATCACTTTAGAGATGGGAAACGTTAGGTTAATGTTGACCAACGCCGCCATCAGACCGCAGATGAACTCCCGATTGTCGGCTGTAGTGGTAATCGTGGCCACAGTTGTGGTGTCCATTCGGCTATACAGCGGACGAGCCCTTCCCAGCCGGCCGTCCATCGGCTCCTCCATCTGAGCCTCTCGTCGTCCTTCTGGTCGTTATCTAATCAATTGATCTTCGCTTTCAAAACCCTCTCTAATAACTAGCGATCGGATGATTGTGTCATAAATTGTGGCCAAAATGTGTGTCCAAAACGTGTCTAACGGTGTCTCTCATGAACAGCATGTGTGAAGTGATGGCATTGTTTGGCATTTAAATCACATTTAAATCACTAATAATTTACACATTGTTTTCAAAATACGATATTTTTTTTATTAAACATCGAAACGATTGTGAGATTTGTTTATAACATAACAGTATTTATTATATTATTTTTTTCTTATGGTTTCAAAAGTATAGTCAACTGCACAGCAATCTTATGGTGCGTTTCCCACAACGCCTTTGACGTACTTTATGGTCGAAATGCCTGACAGTTTCGTACGGTATATAACATACCGTGTATTCACTCTTTCGTATGTAATGTTGGGGCAGTTTTTTAAGGCCTTTCGTAGCATAAAGTACGTCAATTCGGGGGGCGTTTTGGGCGAAAGCACTATACGATTGGCAATGACTTTAACAAATGTTTCATAAATAATGTGCGGATAATAGTTTTGATTTGGAGTTTTGGTCCATTTTGTTCTTAATAGACAGCCATTGAATACAATGGGCTTTTGTCTCCATATAATAGCACCAAAGCGTCGGACAAAACCTTATATATACACCGACTTTCGGTACTATTACATGGAGAGTATTGCCACACGTTTTCAACGTTGTCTTATAGGCATAAAAGGAAAACATTATTTATTTTATTTTTATTTATTATTATTATAACTAAAAATCACTTTTTTGTTTTATTTTTAGATGAAGTACTCAATGCGTGCGAAACGTGAGTCCGTTTCCCACTCGTTGTGGAGGCTTTGGTTGAGCGCATTGAATGCTCGCAAACGCCATACGCGACCACTTATACTGCAATATGAACTCTATGTCTGTTAAGCCATTGGCAGAGGTGTCGCCCCGTTGTGCCCATTATTGCCACCATTACATGGACTGTAAGGCCGTTACGTCCAAAGTACGTCCTTTATGTACACAACCATACAATAAATCATATTTATTAATACACCGTTAAATACTTTAATTAATTATTCATTTATTATTAGTTATATAGTAATCATGGTAATAATTATGTTAAATATATTATTCTATTATATTGATTATAATTATGATATATCTATTGGTGTTATCACTTAAATGCTATAATATTAGCATAAATACAGTGGTATTATATGGGGAACAGTAGCTTACAGTTCACACCTATCACACACTCTCGCACTGGCTATTGATTTACACACAGTTTTTCTCATTAAATAGCATTGATTTTTGTATGAAATTTATTTTTATACATATATTTTCGAAATTCTTAGCCTAAGCCTATTGTAAAACAATATTTTACCCGGTTAAATATTATTGTTTAAATTTTTTTTCTTTACTAAATTGTTTTATAATTAATATAAATAATATTATAAATATTTTATATTATTTTTATAATCAAAAGAATATTTGATTTATAAGAATATTCTGTGCTTTAATATTGAGATGAATAAAACGCCTGTCCGTTCGTTGAGATGTCGGTAGTGTTTCCTAGTATTGTATGCTCTATAATATAACGTATAGCTATTCTCCTAACACAGAATATTCTTGCATTGAAATTAAGAATTTTTGTCGATTTAATGAATATATTTTCGCACAATAGTCTATACTCTGGCATAAGAGGCGATAGCATACACTTATCTGCCGAAAAACCCATTGTTTTGATGTTAATTAATGCCAACTAATTATTTCTCATTTTATAAAGTGGTTTTCGAGTTTCAATTGG